GACTAGCTATTTTACTACTTTTCTGTCGCGCTGTGGAATATTTAGGCTGATCTAAACATCGGCAACCCGGCCAATTGTGGAGTTATATTGTAGGGAAGCTCGGGACAGCAAAAAACCGGGTCAAAAACGGAGCATCGAGCAGCCAACGGGAAATGTGCAGTTCTGCCAATGGATCTTTCCACGACTATTGCTGAGGGTAATGCAATGTAAGCCCGAATCAATAGTCGCCACGGCTACTATATGTACAGACATTTTGTTACAATCGTTTTTTGTAATATCTTGATCAGTCCTGCCAGTAGTTATATATTTGTTTCATTTGTTCATTGATTAATTATTTTATTCAATTTCTATATGTTAATTCGTGCTTTGGTGAAAAGGAGTATGTCCATTATTATGATAGTGACATTATTACAGCTGATTAAGAACCTTTTCAATTCCTTATAATGTTATCATCATAAAGTCATTATTTACTAGTTCTTTTTTAAATTTGTTATCATGTTGATCTTGTAATATAGATATAGATTTGTTGATCATGTAAAATTCCCAATTCAGCATCTTTGTACACAAATGAAGCTGCCATGTATTTTACTGAAATGTGAACGAAGTCAATAAACTCAATATATATATTATAGGAAAGCCAACTAACCAACCAACCAACCATACGACGTACATTACAAATCAAGAAAAATCTGATTTGTGAAAACAGCGAAATATTATGATGAATAGACCAGACCAAACCTTTAATGCCGAGTCTCTTTCCAACCTGATTTTATCATTGGCAGCTTTTAACGCTTAATTTTGATAATTTCTTCATTTTCCAATTAGGCTGAACATGGCGACGACAGGACAAGGGTCTCCCACCGGAGTTGGCCAGAACTTAGATGATGGGTCTCCCACCGGGGTTTTCCAGGTCGACTGTGACAGCAAAACAAGCAATGCTGAAGACCAGACGGCAGCACAACAAGTCAACTTGGATAAAGCTGGTGAGAAACCCTACATGTGTGGGGAGTGTGGGTACAGGGCGGCTTACAAGTCTGACTTATCCCGACACATGAGAACTCATACAGGAGAAAAACCCTACAAGTGTGACCAGTGTGACTATTCTGCAGCACGGAAATCCAGTTTGGACTATCATCTAGCAAAACACACTGGTGACAAACCCTACATGTGTGGGGAGTGTGGATACAGGACAGTTCACATGTATGACTTATCTAAACATATGAGAGCCCATACAGGAGAAAAACCCTACAAGTGTGACCAGTGTGACTATTCTGCAGCACAGAAATCCAGTTTGGACTATCATCTAGTAAAACACACCGGTGAAAAACCCTACATGTGTGGGGAGTGTGGGTACAGGGCAGCTAAAAAGTCTGACTTATCCATACATATGAGAGTTCATACAGGAGAAAAGCCATACAAGTGTGACCAGTGTGGCTATTCTGCAGCACACAAGTCCTCTTTGGACTTACATCTAGCAAAACACACCGGTGAGAAACCCTACATGTGTGGGGAGTGTGGGTACAGGACATCAAAAACGTCTCACTTATCCATGCACATGAGAACCCATACAGGAGAAAAACCCTACAAGTGTGACCAGTGTGACTATTCTGCAGCACAGAAAGCTAATTTGGACACACATCTAGAAATGCATGCTGGTGCGAAACCCTACATGTGTGAGGAATGTGGATACAGGGCAACTCAGAAGTCACACTTATCCGAACACATGAGAACCCATACTGGAGAAAAACCCTACAAGTGTGACCAGTGTGACTATTCTGCAGCACGGAAATCCAGTTTGGACTATCATCTAGCAACACACACCGGTGACAAACCCTACATGTGTGGGGAGTGTGGATACAGGACAGTTCACATGTATGACTTATCTAAACATATGAGAGCCCATACAGGAGAAAAACCCTACAAGTGTGACCAGTGTGACTATTCTGCA